TGGAAACACATGGCTGATTGCTATTCCATCACGTGTGTATTCAGAATGGTTCCGTAGTGCGGCTTGTTGATTGTCTTCACGTTTTAGGATTTGTGACATGTAATAATGCTCACCTTCCCCATATTGTCTTTCGCTAAATTTCAATTCGTTGTAAAAGCTCGAGCTATGGTTTTGTCGCTGCTGACTTTTTCCCGTGCAACTGTTAATTTGTATTTGCAATATCTGTATTTAGATTACCAACAATGCACCGGATTGCGTTTTCGCATCTAAAGTTCTACAGTTACAGTTATTTTGCGACTCAGTAGATCTATTACTTGTCTTGTGAACGCCTATACACTTCGTGCGTTTAAAGAGTATAAAGGAGATTGGGGAGAAGGTGGAAGGCACTTCCCCTCTGATGAGAAAAAGAGGTTTGCGGAAGCTGGCTAAGACGAGCGCCGATGGAACCACGCCAAGTAGTACCATGTGCACCGAAGTCTGAAAAAGGTCATACGTAGTTCATGTTTCGTAAAATGCATTTGGCTATGTCCTGCTTTGCAGACATTGTTGATTGTATTTTTGTTTATTAATTTAGGGTAAGAAAATGTGCAGGGTAAAAGCCAACTCCGCATATATTGAGTAATTGTTGAGCTTAGTTAACAGTTCAACGTAAGCACAAAAAAAGGCAGTCATTGACATTAGGTTGTTGGCCTCCACTGGGAAATGAAGTGTACACGTTATAGATCAACGACTTGTGCGCATGGTTAAGTACAGAACTTCGATCCCTCGACAGTATTTTCATTGAATGTTCAGTCGTCAACCAGGCTCACCTGTAAGGCAGTTATGTTTTATTGGGACATAACGGTGTGAAGGCGATGTACGTGCCAATGTTTTTTTTGGGGCCTGGGGGGGTTTTTCCCCCCCCCCCCCCCCCAAATTTAATGAGAAAAAAAGCCAAAATATTTCTCCCCCAAATTAATCCCCACCAAAAAAGAGGTTTTGGGCAAGGGGTTTGGTTTTTTTTAACGAGTCCCCCCCAATTTCCCCCTTTGAAAATACAAAAAGTTTTTTTTTTTTTTTAAAGACCTTTATCTAACCGAGACTTATTGGTGTGTGAAGGACGAGTTTTCGGAGGAAATCTTGCCAGCTGTACGTTTGGGGCCATGTTGTGTCCTACCACAACAATGACTGCGAATCTATCGCT